AAATTTTTTTTATAACAATGAATTCAACATTTATTTATTTACTTCAGTATTTATTAGGGTCTACGTTTATTTATTTAGTATTAATTATAATCAACATTAATTATTTCATGGGACCTAACAATAGTTCGAACCCCTCTATACTAGGCCCAAACTAGTTTAAAAAAGTGTATTGCCATAAAGTTAGGAAAAAATGTTGTATTGTAGGTACATTTTATTCTTAACTCTACCATATAAATCATCTAGACCATAAAATAAGAATTTTAAAATTATTCTATTCATTTAGATTTACTTGGTTTGGATGCTACCCAAAGATTTTGAGAATTTATAACATGTACTCTTAAAATATAATTAAATTAATAGTGTATTTATTGTTGTACTTTTTGTAATTAATTTATATTAGAAAATTAAAAAATAATTTTAATTTTATCAATTATTAATTAAAAACATGCATGTAACATTAATGATAAAAAATAAAAATTAAATATAAGAAGGTATAATTAATGCATTCTTAAAACTTAAAACACAGGTTAAAGATTTTCTAGAGCTAGTCTAATCTGTGATGTGGGTATGCCTTAATTAGGGTTTATCGAATTAGCATAACCCTAATATCTGATTCTGGCTATGATTGTTGAATTAACACCACCACCCTGATGCAATTATTGTTTCCAAAAGCCTGAATTTTACGGTGGGCTCAGTGGGGTTAGCATGTGGCGTGAAATGAAATATAATGGATAAGCTTCAAATTATGCTTCTCTCTGTTTGGGCAGCTTTTAATATCTTTCTCCGCCATTTGATGATGTATTTAATATTAGTTGCCTAAGGTCGTTACTTGTTGCATCATGTTTCAAGATGAAAATCATATTGGTTAAGATCATAGCATTGCTGCCTCCATATGTGAGATACATTTTAATTGGAGTTGGGAGGCTACTAGAAAGCAGCTGATGGGCATGTGTGAAGTGATGTTTTCTTGGGGTCAGTATGGCTTTTCCATTGTATATGTGGCTGCTCATCCATAATAGCCACGCGTACTAGTAGGACTTCTTTCGTTGGTGCATGCTGTTGGGACCTTAAATTAAGTAGCTCTTGGTAGTAAATTGTTGTTGCTTACTCACAATATCTATGACAACTGGCTAGTAAGAATGAGTAGCTCATGGTAGTAAATTGACATTCCTCCCTCATAACATCTATGGTCTGTTGGCTACAATGAAGAAGTAGCTCCTTGTAGTGAAATACTATATTTCTCTCACCCTTAAATATCAATGGTTACTAGACACTAAGAATAAGTAGCTCCTTGTTGTAAAATATGTTGTTTGCCTATAATTAATTGCTATTAGTACTGAGAATAAGTAGCTTGAAGTAGTGGAATATGCTATTGGTCCAACCAGCATAGCTAATGGTATTGGTTACTTAGAACGAGTTACTCTGTAGTAAAACATTTTACTTAACATAATATCAATGACTGACTACTATAATGGGCAGCTCCTAGAAGTAAAATGCTATGTCACCCATAATATCAATGGGTGATGGTTACTAAGACTAAGTAGTAACACCTAATTCTTCACATTTAGTCATCTTGGGACTTTTATTCTCCTTAACTAGAGGATTTTTTCATTTTGTCTCTTCCTTTGTTGTTAAATGTTTTCCGTGTTTCCTAGCTATAAAAGATGCCAAGATTTCGCCTTACCGATCCTATCTATTGGCAGGATCTATATTTTTGCTTTTGTGGCTGCCGTACCGTGAGATTACCTTGGTACAATTTCCTAATTACTACTCTCTTTTAATGCACAAAGGCCATTGTGAGTAGAGAGTTCTACTAGTTTAAATAAGTTTGTGTTTATTTGTAGTAATATACCATGGAGCTAGGGTTCAAGATGAGCCAGGTTTAGGTTATTCATTGTATTGTTGTTGTTCGTTGTTATATCATTAGGTCTGCCTTTTTGTTATACATTTATTATCCAATGGTGTTATTTTGGACTTAAACGTCGAAACTTGGAAGATAGGAGTTTGGGTTAATATTTATTATCCAATGGTGTTACTTTTGAATGGGCTTGATAAGCAATAGTTCGCTTGTATGAACTTCAGATATCACATTAAACAGGCCGTGGAGGATACTCTTTGAAGATGTTCAAGAGACTGCTTAAGAATAATATTATTTTCTTTTTGGAGATTGTGGAATGAGTGGAATGAGTGAATTGTTCTCTTTGCAATTATGCAATGAAATATTGAAATACTATTATTGCCATTCTGGTGTTGATCTACTCTCTATAGATTCCCAGGAGTCTAATTGGTTTGTGAATCTGCATAATTCTATTACTTGCTTATTTGCAGCCTTGATGCATTGATTTCTACTTTCTCAATGAAAAGTCTTTTTATGATGTCTTTTCTGGCTTATTCTTCATCCTTTCAATTTAGTAGCGGCGTATGAAATTTCTTTAGCAACATTTTCTCTTGCCATTTTGTGCCTTTTATTAGAACTCCATCTGGTTCGTGGGTTTAACTCTTATTCTGGGCAACATGGGCCAGTGTTCATTTTAACTCTTATGCTGGACTATATTGAAATTTTCTATTCTCTACTTCTCTTTTGTTTAGTTGTTGTGGTATGATCAGTGAGCAGAACTTAACTTACTTCCCCTAATAATTTGTTTGTTTTGCTTGTCCTGGAGAACTGAGGCTCACAGACATCTTGCAGGGTGCTGTGCTCTGTGGGGTAGGAAAGTGGTCACCCATTTTGGCCAATAAAGTTATGTTTAGAATTGAGACGGATTTCCTGGAACAGGACCCCTAAAACAATACTTCTTCTCTTCTTATCCAATTGAAAATTGCAACTTGCAGAAGCATGTAAGGCTCTGTGAGGCTGAGAAGTCCTCCTCTAAACCCAATAGCAAGACATTTGTCATTATCTGCTTTTATTACCTTGTCTTTGACATGTTTGTCTTAAAACACTAGTGTGGATAGAAATTCCAAGTGATGGGGTCCTTCCAGTTTTTAACTTGAGCAATCACGCGCTCAAGTCCAATGAGACACTAACATGCCATTGCAATATGACAATGGTTATAGATAAGACTTGAAACCATACCTTCTCCAATTGGTTGCTGGGAAAATGAAATCAAATCTGTAGAAAATTCTCACTTTTTGACTTTGTGTGTTTTGGAATCTACAGGAGTAAGTTAAAATACGTAGCGTCGAGGAAGAACAATACAAGAATGTCGTTTCATGACTATATGGGGTGGAGGACCTTTTCATAACGTTACAAAAAGGATTTTCACCGTTCCCACCATATCAGCATAGTGAGGAACATCACACTTTACCACCAAGTTAATGCATGTCACAATAACCAACTTTACGGTCTTTGTTATTATCCCTTTTTTCCCTGGGAAACGAAGAGAAATATGAGGATGAGAGAAAATACGAGGAAAGAACAAAGAAAAAAAAAAAAAAGAAGTAAGCAGAATACCCAAATCCACTCCTTTATTATAGTGGCGGGGCAGATTTATCCCCCAATAAAAATAGGAACAAACCATCCAAGTGTCCAACCAACTAAACAACTTGCTTGGGTCCCTTTAGGGGCCACGAGGTGATTTGCTAGCAGTTGGAAGTTTTGAGATTCAAATTTAAGTGGAAACATAGAAAAGGTTTAAAAAATCTTGGCGAAGGCTATGCGTATGCGATGATCAATGGACAGCACACCAAAAGAATGAAGTTATATATTAACCGCAAAACTCCTTTTTCTTGCTAACTGCAACTTGAAAACAGAAAAAGTGATGGCTATACATGATGCCAAGCAGCTGTGTTCTTCCATTCAATACAACTTCAGTGCAATATGCAAAATATATGCCCAACAGAGTTCTTTACTTGAGGTAAAAGTGTACGAAGAGCATTCATTTAAATCAAATGGGTCCTTCAAGTTTTAATTCCAAGCGACAAAGCAATCAAGTTGCTCACATGTAATGTTGTTATGTTGTACGTATTAACAAAAAAAAGAGTTATAGAACTAAAGATTTATATTCATCAAAAAGAACTAGCATTTACATTTTTACTTCTTTAATATTCAGTTCATATGAGAAAATTAAAAGCAGCATTACGCAATCAAGGTATGTGAAAGACATAAGAGCTTAAAGCTAGGAGGGAAAGCAGCGTTCTGAAATTGTTATTTCTAAGGGGGGACAGTGAAACTAAAGAGCTCATAGAGTCATAATATGGGTAGGAAATGTAGATTTATTATCTGTTGAAGACTAATTAGGCTGGAGCTGTTCTTGACTGTGTTTCAGTTGCATTCTGATCCTCAGCTTCGCCTGAAAGTTCTTCCAGGGATTTTCCTTTAGATTCAGGCACCAAGAATGTGAACAACAATCCAGTGAGGTTGACAACGCCCAGGATTATTAGTGTCTTCTTCACTCCAATGTTATCTGCAGCATATAAAAAGCCAAATGAACCAACAATAGCTCCAGCCTTCCCTGCTGCAGCTGATATTCCATGGCATGTTGATCTTAGCCTTGCTGGGAAAATCTCGGCAGGCACTACAAATGTAGTGGCATTTGGACCAAAATTTGAGAAGAAAAATGTGAGGGAGTACATAACAACGAAACCAATTCTGTTGTCTGGAAGAGTCCAGTGATGATAAGGGATGGCCAAGGCAAACATGAAGACAGTCATGAAGAAAAAGCCAACCAGTTGAATTGTGAACCTTCCTAGCTTGTCAATCAATGCCACGGTGAACCAATACCCAGGAACTGTGCTGCATAGTGCAATGAGAGTTTGTGCTCTAGCAATTTTGTAAACCTCTTGAAGGGCATTCATAGTTTTTGCCTTTGGGATCCAACCAATTGCAGTGAAAATGTCCTTCTGAAACAGGTTCTGGCTGTAGAAGGCAATGTCCAACAAGAACCATGTAGTTGTGGTGCCAAGCAAGTGAAGTCCATGGCGGTGGAGAAATTGTGAAGAGAACAAGCCATAATCAGCAGCAGTTTTCTGATCAACTTTCTCCTGTTCTACTTCTAAATCAACCTGAAGAACTTTTGACATATCTGCTGCAGCCTGTTTTGCATTCTTGGCAACCAAGGCAGTGTAACGGGCAGTTTCTGGCATCTTCATACGCCAGTAATAGGTAAGTAAAGCCGGGATTGCACCAAACATCAAAATTATTCTCCAAACATAATCAGCTTCAGGCACAGTTGATGCATCAGCGTCCTGCTCATAAGTTGGTGCACGGTACCTGGCCTTGAAAGCTGCAGAAACTAAAATAGTAACAATCCCTCCTGACACAATCCCAAAACCTTGCATGGCAAACACGGCAGCAATAAAAGCACCACGAGTCTTTTTATTAGCATACTCGGACATGATTGTAGCAGAAAGAGGGTAGTCACCACCAATGCCAAAACCAAGCCAGAATCGGAAGAAGCAGAGTGTTGATATAACAGCTTTAGGATCTTTTCCAAAGGAAAGTCCAGAGGCAATAGAGCAAAAGACCATAAGCATAAGGGTCAGGCCATAAACACGTTTCCGTCCCATCTTGTCACCAAGCCAGCCAAAGAAAAGTTGGCCTGTAAGGGTACCACATAAGGCAACACCAGTAACAGCCGAAGCTACATTGTCAGGAAGCTTTCCAGGAGTAGCAGCACTCTCCTTGTGGTAGTAAATGCGACCGAGCAATTTGGTCACCAGAGAAATGCAAAACAGGTCATATGCATCTGTGAAGAATCCCATCCCAGCAATTATAATTGCTGTGAAATGGTACCATTGCGTTTTGGCCACATCAAGAGCGTTAAGAACTTGTAATTGATCCCTTGCCATGTCTAGAGATCTCCTGAAAAATTAGTAAACATGGAAGATCAGTACATATATAACAAAGATTCAAAACTAAGATATTTTCAAGAATTATGGATGATATTATATAGGATCGAAGATGAGTGATGAACTGTTAAACTTGTGAAGGTGCCGGAAACAAAAATGATCAAGAAAGAAGGCAGAAAGCAAATTTTCCACAGTTGCATGCAATCAACTTTCAAAATTTTGGACTATGGAGATGAAGGTAGGTAGATGATGAGTACTGAAAAAATGACAGAGTGTGTATAAGTCATAGGTCAATAAAGTGAAACTAAAGTAATAAACTACAAATCAATAATTTAAAATAGATGAACGTAACCAACAATCAAGAATAATCAATGAAAAAATGAATTAAAAATAAAAATGGATTCACAGAAAGGTTCTTCCCCTTTACCTTTTATTCCCCCTAATATTAAAAGAAAAACAAAAGCTACAACTTTTCCATGCAAGTAAATAAAGAGAAAATGGTTGCAATTGGAAAATTTTGCGATCTGATACAAACTTGATTCTGGATTATGAGTACAGTTAAACATAGTAATAGGTCGAGGAAAGATAAACTCTCATAGCAAAAGACCAGAAACTTTGTACTGAGGAAAAAAACACAGAACATCCAGGAGATTGCTATAATCTTGAAAAACAAAGATAATCATAACTAATGATTTCAGATATTAATCTAATTCTTCTATCCCCAAAAGAGCAAAAAATTCCAGAAAATTGGATACCCTGAAATTTCTCAGCAGGAATTCAACTTTCAAGTAACAATGTCACTCTCTTCTGCGGTTCTAACACTAACAACAAAGAATAAAAAAAACCAAAATCTTTTTTATTTCAGATCTTCAAAACCCTATTTTAAGAAACACCACACCATGACACACCGTACATGTACAAATAACACAAAGACAAACAAGCAAAAAGCACAGAGCATTCCCAAGAACCCAAGAACCCAAGAAATATTGAAAAGGAAAATCAGAATCCAAAAAGAACCCATGAAACAAAATGGGTTTCTAACCCAACCCATCTCAAAACATCAACAGACTCAACCCCAGAACAAACAGAAAAAACCATATCATTCATACCTTCACTCCACCAGAAAAAGACACCCCTTTTCTCCAACACAGAGCTCGAAGAAATGGTTTCTTATACCACTAGAAATACAGAGAGTCCACACTCAAGATGGTTTCAATGGAGTCCTTGACTCAGATTTATAGATGAGGAAATAATGGAGGGCTTTTTGTTCCGTATGTAACTGCTTGGGACGCTCTCTCTCCATTTTTTTAAAAATTTTTCTACAGTATATTTTCATTTTGTGTCTTTTAATTTGCACTTTAAACTTATATTATATCATATTAGAAAATAAAAA